GCATGTAAAAGCTGAAATTAAAACTTAATGAGTAATTACAAGGAAGGAAATCTGACAAGAAGTAATTATTAGGAGATAGCCATTTATCTTTGAAATCTCTTATTAACACTCGGGATTAAACCGGACTTTGCCTCTGTCTTTTGTAAGCTGTGCCACAATTCAAAATGATAATTGCCTGACAGGGATGCAACAGACACTTTTTTAGGGGGGTATGTAGACGCCTATTTGACCCCCATTTCATTTATCAACCTTTTTTTGTGAATACTGTATAATGCCAGAGATCTGAGATCTTTCATTGTATGATAATGTGCATTATATTTGCAAGGTTAACTCAACTACTGGAAGTAAAAGCTTGCATAAAAATATTTAACTTAATTACATGCGCAATTTTTTTTTAAATTAAATTAAATTTAACCATAACTATTTCAGCCGTATTGGACATTAATATATAATGATATTTTGTGTATGTGTGTGTGTGTGTGTGTGTGTGTATATATATATATATATATATATACATACATACACACATACATATATATAAGAAATTATTGAATTATATTAAATAAAAAATTTTTGAAAAATGTAACGGCAACACTGTTTTCAACATTAATAAGAAATGTTTCTATAGCACTAAATTAGCATATTACAATGATTTTTGAAGTATCTATTAAAATATATATTACACCATAAAAAAAAGGTTATTTTAAATTGTAATAATATTTTACAACATTACTGCTTTCTCTGTATTTTGATCAAATAAATGCAGACTTGCAGACAAAAATATTTAAAAAATTTCACTGGTAGTGGATATATGTATATCTACATACATTCTGTCTGTTCAGTCAGTGATGGTTCATATAGTACATATTAATTTAATGTCAACATCAGTGGTTCCCACATTTCTTTTCTCTATGCAGTTTGCTGTTTGTGTGATGTGCCTTGGCACAGATAAGTAGATGGGTTATGCGGTCACTGAGTGAGCCAGCGAATGCCGCAGGACAAACCCGCTCACGTTCAGCGGTCATCCACTCACTATGCCTGAAAATAAGGTCACCACGGCAACATGCGGCCCCACAGCTACGGCCCTGTTTTCTCACTACATGCATGTCACCCTGATGACGACATGCTGCTGTCTGACCAGAGCCATCCGCTGCATGCAGACATACACAAATGCACATACACAAAATCAATCACCGTTCCCCACACCCATAACTGATCTATTCCTACTAAAAGAAAAATATAAACCAGGCCGAAGTACACAAATCAAAACCATATTCTTCTAGAGTCTCATACTGACAGGGATCAGCCTTCCAGCCGCTCTCATTCACATTCTTATGAGTCAGAGCAGACAAGCCATTTTCAAACACAGCTGTATCGTGCAGATATCTGATTCACAAGAACTGTGTTTCCAGCCCACATACGCCACTTTAATGTATGAAAGCTCTAGACATTGATAGCACGGCCCTCAAGAAGTGTGATGTCCTACCTCTAAAGTACATCTTATCACTTCAACACTTTCTTTTGAGGTAACCTGACATCACATTAATGTTAACAGAAGCTCCTCACACCCATCTGGGCAGTTAAAAAGTCAGCTTTAAATGTGGACAGACAAGATGATGATCTCATTAGTATTCATAGGCTTTAATGCGAAACATTTATATTTACTTTTTTACGTTTGGATTGACACAAAATGTACAATATCAACATATTGACAGCATCTTCTTCTGATTACATCAATGCTCAAGCACACTCATTGAACTATGGAAAAACTTTGTCAGAAAACTGTGGCAGTGCTAACCATTTAATTCTAATTGAAAATTGCAAATGTTGGATGGACACATAGTTCAATAATGCTTTGTTATGTGTCTAGAAGCATTATGTGTGAGCGTTTTTTCTTAAATACCACCCGATAAAGCATGTGCAGACACATCCAACATCACACAAACATGAAAAGGCACATCTCAACATACCTTTACATAAGATGCACCTACACATCCATAAAAGTGTTGGGAAGCAGAAGTGTTTTGGATGAATAGAGCTGGACATCAGATAGGAAGAGAGGTTGAGTGTGTTAAAATACATTCTCCTGTCCCTGTAATATACAGAGACTATTATAAGTGATCCAATGGCAAACTAATTTTCTAAACCGAGTGTAAATAATGACTATGATTAAGACTGTGACAATGGCACTATCGAAACATCCTGACCAGTCTGAAACTTTGGCCCAACCAGTGGCACGAGATTGAGGCGAGGCTACCTGCTTGCCCAATATTGTTTTTGCAATACCGTTTGGTGACACTAGTGGTGCAGAAATCACACAAATCACCTTTAAACTGCACGCAGTATTAGTAATGCTGTTAATCGCAACCCAGGTACGTATTTGCCATGAGACCGGGTAGGTTCATGTATTGTGCCCCTGAGAACAAACACACACATCAAGTATCTGCATAAAAAAACATCTGCAACAGTGCACAGAGAAGATTAATGTTTAATTCAAAGACTAATTAAGCATCTCAAAGCATAAGAGAGAAAGGGTTTGGTGACACTAGTGGTGCAGAAATCACACAAATCACCTTTAAACTGCACGCAGTATTAGTAATGCTGTTAATCGCAACCCAGGTACGTATTTGCCATGAGACCGGGTAGGCTCATGTATTGTGCCCCTGAGAACAAACACACACATCAAGTATCTGCATAAAAAACATCTGCAACAGTGCACAGAGAAGATTAATGTTTAATTCAAAGACTAATTAAGCATCTCAAAGCATAAGAGAGAAAGGAAATGTGTGTAATCAAAGGAAGATGGGCAGCCTCAGCCGAGATCAAACATTCAGGATATCAGCTCTGACAGACACTGTTTACACCTGGAATTAACATTAATTTTACAAATGGCCAGTTCTATATACAAGTGTAAACACGGTCCAAAACAGTGTTGATCCGAACACTCAGGCGACATACGGAGGTAGTCAGAAACGCATTGGACCACATCGCATTTGTCCCAGACAAAAATAAAAGGACCTTATATTCGCCTCTCAGTCATCAGTTGGACTAAAACAAGGGTTTTCAGTGCTGGTTAAGTGCAGTTTTTAAAGAAAATAAGTGTCTTATCGAAAAATTTGGAATGCAAAACATATGGAAAGTTGCTGTTTAATAGCACAGAATATGTGAAACAATTCCAAAATACAGCATAAATACAAGTATATTTGAGAGCAGATTGGTTACACGAGATGTTAATACAACATAAACCATGATCTGTCTCGTCCGAACACTTGTGACTGGATCACCTGAGACAGATGTTAATACAAGATACTAGCATGTGTGCAATTGATCGCAGGGTCAGTCTGACAGGATATGTCCACCACAGCGCTACAGAGAACTCTGTGAGAAGTTCAACATCAGATAACAAAGAAAGACAGAAAGGAAAAGATACCGATACGTAAAAAATGAAGAGAGACATTCTGGGCAAAGCAAAACACAACTAGCTGAAATACAAGAAAGAAGGAGAGAGATGAGGTGTTTGTGAGAGAGATGAGAATAGAAGCTTTCTGTCATTATATTTGATGAAGACGAATAACCGTGCTCCCGTCAGCCAGCCAAACAAAAACGGACTACACAACGCCTCTAACTTCTCTTTTTCAACGCATGCATGCAAGATGGTATGTCTACCCATGACACTCACATGCACAGGGACATAAATCATAAAACACGGCTTATATGTTGACCCACATACACAGAGACGAAAGACAGAAAGACCTCATCCTAAGAGATCGAAGCCAAACAAATGCATGGACAGATGGTACAGGAAATTACCTTATCTGTCTACTCACCATTCATCCCTCTGAAGACACCTCACTGTCCTGTTCCACTCCAATCCTCCTTTTCTTTATTTTCCATGCTATACGCACCAGTTTCAGCATGTTTGTGTTGTGTATAGTCTAGATTCTAAGAGCAGAGAGGATTTGTAATGCGGTCTATTGTACTACGCTCAGCCTTTCACACGCACTTACATGGCACAATTGTGTTTCTGCCAAAGACCCAGGATCAATATAACCAGTTTTCACCCAGACACACTCGCGGTACTCTCATGCTGAATGCAGAAGTGTCTTTTCAACAGTGCAGTGCACAATGAAGAAGCTCTTACGCTGTTTACTGCCGCGTAAGAGTGTATATTTTACTCTTATAAGGAGTGTATTGTGATTTTGACCCAATAGAGAAGTTCAGCTTGAATGTTTTATGTTCCGTGCAGCTCCAAGAGTGCTTGAATATGCTGGTGTCAGATATGCGGAGGGTGTTTGAGTACCTGTGTTTTGTTTTTCTGAATGGTGTGCATAGCAACGGTGTGCTCAGTCCTTTTTGCATGTTTGTATAACTGTGCAAAGATAACATTCATTTTATATCTAACAGATATATGATATATGACAATAAAAATGTTCTAAAAATGTCAAATCCAAATTCCCCTGACTATTTGGGTGAAAACACACCTGCGCACACACATATTAGGTCATCTCAGCCATGCTGCAGTGTCCCTCACTGCTAGGTAGCATCAAAACAAAACCTGCTTCATCACAAAACGCAACCATAATCACCTCTACACTGTCCCCTGCCATACAACTACAATAAATTTTTTTTTTGAAAAATCATTTTTTCTTTTTTAAAATTACATATTAGACATGACAATACATCTATAAACTTATGCATAACAATAACACACACATATGCAAGTAATGCACAAACACATACAGGTATGCAAGCAATTGTTTAGGTAAAAAAAAAGGGGATTAATTGAGATTTATACAGGTCGTTGAGAATGATATATGGACACACACAAAAACACACACCTATACACATAATCAGATGCACACATTGCAGTGCTGGATGGGATGGGGTACAGTGCGACTTGTCCTGTATAAAGACTAGAAGATGAGATGGTACTTATGGGCGCAACTCACATCGGACACGCACACAGGACATTGGCGAGAGCCGATGTGTGTGTTACTCACAGTTCTGAGTAGAGGATGTGAAGGTTGCCCACATTGTCAGTGTAGTTTGCTGGACTGAGCCAGGGCAGAACCAACAGCAGCAGAGCCTTCATGACCCTCTCTCTCCAGGGTCTCTTGTCTTGAGTCTCTCTTTCTTTTGCTTTCTTTCTCTTTCTCTAGGCTGAATGCAGTCTTTCCTATCTGGCTTCCTCCCTGCCCGTTGCTCCTCCACCTCTACTACAGTTCTGACCCCCCCTCCCGCCTTTCTCTCAAGTAAAAAGCTATTCTTCCTTTTCCTTTTCTTCTTGTTTCTTTGTCTTTCCACTTTTCTTTTTTTCCTCGCCTCCCTCAGTCTTTTAGCCCGGTCATCTCAGCAGTAGAGAGATCAGCAGCAGTAGAGGGAGAGGTAGAGACTGGGAGCGCTGCCAGCGGAGTAGAACAGAGAGTGCAGGATGAAGAAAGACTCGAGAAGAAAAGGAGTCAGGAGCGGCGTCTGTAGCGGGCGCAGGTGCATGGGAGTCGAGGTGGAGAAGAAAAGAGAGGGGTGAGGTAGAAGGAGAAGAGGAGGCAGAGAGCGGCGTTTGCTGGCACGCCAGTCGGGTGCGATGGTTGCGTTGCGGTCTAATCTGTCCTGGGCATCGTCCAAGAGTAAGAGGATTTACGCTCACGAGCCCACATGCTGCTGTGAATGTGTGAGAGAGAGAGAGTATGTGTGAGTGTGGCAACACAGCGTCTGACTTATACTGCAGCATGCTCTACAGAGAGAGAGAGAACTGGGGCGAACCAACTGACACGGGAGAGAGGGGGAGTTGCAGGCCTGGGTGGCCCAACTATCATTGTCTATATGCCTCAATGGAAGAGCGTATGGCAAAGACCACCCCCCTCTGCAACGCAACGATTCATTCAGTTATGAAGGGGTGTGTGTGTGTGTTTATGTGTATGTGTGTGTTGAGGGTAGATGTGAAGATGGATGGATGGATGGAAGAGACAGACAGACATGGATCGTCTTCTGTCTGTTCAGCTGTGTGAATCTAGTGATAGATAGATTAATATTTTTCAACCATTCTCCAAACAGACAATAACTCACAAGGTCATGTAATCAAACAATGGTTTTGAGCTCTCCAAACTTTACAGCAGTTCCAATAACCATATGATTTGGTGACAGTATAGCATGTGCTATTATCAATATTGCATGTTCATAAGAGCCCAAAGCAGTACATTCCCTCCCCTCTGATCTGATCCAGGATTCCAGGAAAGTCTGTAGACCGCCAAATACATGCAGACTCAAGCACATGCTTACGCACACTGAGAGACAAAGTGCATCTAGACATGCTTGACTGCAAACACAAAAACAAAAGAAGTGACAGAAGACAGACAGACAAACATACAATACAAGATACAAACCTCTCTATTTAATACAAAACACCAAAGCACATGCAAACTAACTAAAACACATCAAAGCAGTGATCAAAACTGACTCAATACACCAGATCTTCTCACCACAAAGTTATGAGTCAGAGAGAAGGAAGCCTCATGGTTTAACATCACATGATCACAAATGCTGGGACACAAACACAATCTGTAGCAGCTGACGCTGACAAATGCATCTCAGCTATTGAGCTTAAGTGCATGGAATCAAGAGGAACTTTGTACTTTGTACAAACGTTCTCATAAAAAATGTTTGAAGTGAATGGAAGGCCATTCTTACATAGAAAGAGTCATTGGCTGGTCCTCACAAGTTCTTGTTCCGCTTAAGTCCCATCCCATTTTGATTGTTGTCCAACTTTACAGTTCTGGACCAACTAAGATCACAGGAGACCAGACCACTTTGGAGAAAGCAGTGAGAGGAAGAGAAAGACAAAGAAAGATGAACTGAAAGCCTAAGAGCCCAATATAAAAAGAGAAGGCTGTGGGAGGGGAGAGGAGCAATAGTATGGAAAGAAGCAAGTGTGGGTTTTTGGTTGACTGGAGAAAAGGGCAAGTTGATTATGTTTCCGTAAGTGGAATTTTAAATGAGAGGGAAACTTTCCATTAACGCCAGTAACAAAATGCAATTAATTTCAACACAGGCCCTCAGGCCTGTGGATCACTAATGATTCAGAAACAGTCCAAAGGAACGACAGAGTCTCTACCATCCTGAAAATGGAGAGAGTGAAAATGCTTTTTCCAATAAAAAGCATTAGTAAGCATAACGTCCCTAAAGGCTTTGAGGTGGAAGATCAGTTTAACAGAGGTCACTGTGGGGTTGCTACCTCTGAGGAGTGGCGAACAAAAGAATCCTCTAACAAAATAAACAAACAAATGCATGCACGCAGACGGAGATGTGCTCGACACATGTCTTCTATTGAGGCGAATCACTGACAAGAGTCTTTTATGAATGACAATGAATGAAGAGCTGCGTATGAATGCCAATGAGAAGATGAAGCGTGAATTCAATGCATCAGTCACATTCAGCAATTCAAAACTTGCTTACACAGTACAATAACTTCAACTGTGCTTTGCTAAACCTTCATGTTACCTTCAAATATAGACATCTAAAGATGAGTCCTTATTGAAAATGTCCTTCAAACCTGACTGAATGTCAGGACCAACATCCTTTTTAACCAATAAGATTTTAGGTTTTAGTTTTGGGTTAGGATTAGGGATTGCCTCATATTTATCACCCCACCACAATTTTTTTTTTCATGATTTCATCTGGTTGTAAGCATTAAGGTGTGGTCACATTTACCGTGGACTGACGAAATTTCACAGGGGAAATCCATTAATTTCAATGGGAATTGGTGTGGTGCAATTTCGCCAGATAAAGTTCCTGTGGTGAATACATTTCCCTGCAAATTTGCAGCAGTGAAAATGGGTAGACAATTATAAAACTTATCAGCTTGGCTCATGAATATTAATAAAGCAACATTACCTAATTAATATTCAGAAGGCCTAAAGTCTTAATTGATTTGCTGACAAGTAAATAAGCATTTGCCATAGAAAAAAAAAAACGGCTGCTCAGGACCAACAAAACAAGCAGATCCATGTTCTACTTGGCTAAATCACATTGGGCGTCTCAGACTGTCATCTTCCAAGCCTGTCTACCACCATCCTAAATTTCATTAAGAAGCTCAAATCTTGTTAAGATCACTACTATCATATCAAAAACTGCTCTGAGGGTGATTTCCTCACCGGCTCCTGATGTGTCCTTCCATTTCTCCCCGCGGCATCACTTCAGTGCAGTGTTCAGTAAAGGGGCAGGACACCATCAGTTTATCCAGCAGCTTGTGCACCAGCAGGCTGGATTTCCGGCAGGTCTGCAGCATCAGTGGAGTGCGGTCCACTGGGCAGAAGTCGCTCTCCAGCAGGAAGTTTGTCAGACACTCCTGGCAATAGGTATGTCCACAGGGGGTGTCCACGGGCAGAATCAAAGGCTGAAGGCAGATGTGGCACATAAGGTCATCATCCACCTCCACTTTGTAAGTATATTCGTGGTTCTCCTCCTGTAGGTGTCGTTGTCCACAGACATGGCATAGGTCAGGAGGAGGGGAGGTGGGACTGACTCCTGTTGCACCACAAACGGGCATTGCCACAGCGCCTGCCTCTTCCTGATCACTCATTGTGTGATGGTAGAAATGGTGTTGAAGTTTGAAGTGTTACTCAATCTTTGTGTGGTTGGAGGGCTTTGTTGTGTCAGGTTGCGTTTTCAGCCATACACCTGTACAGGAGGAGCACATAAAAGAAAGAAAGAAAGAAAGAAAGAAAGGAACCATCATTTATGGCAAATAGGTGTGTCCACATAATAATCTTGTTAGCTGTGTTTGCTGGAAAGGCAGGTCGTACACACCCAAAGACACGATTTAGCAAAAAGAGGGCAGCAAAAATGAGTTATTACTTTCTGCCCGTTCTGCTCTTACTCTATTTTTAATTCCCTGAGCTGGCAGAAGGATAAATATCAGACTGATCCAAAACACATTTTATATTCCACTGGCAACAGAAATATCAATATTGCACCTCAGATTCTTAATAAACCAAGTTGGAGAATTTTTTTTAGAACTGCCAGTTATACAGTGGAAGTTTTTAGCATGGTCACATAGAGACAGCTATTTTCTAGCATTACTCTAGATGTTTCCAGAAGCAATACCTGGCTTCATGTGAGCCTGTCATTTACTAGTGAAAATAATTGAGTTTGTGTGTTTCTATGTAGCTAAATTTATAAACTCCTAGCTTAGATTTAACTAAGCTTCAAGCTTAAAGATATAGTTTGCCCTCAAGTGAATATTTTGTCATTATTTACTCACTTTCATGTCATTCTGAACCCATAACTTTATTATTAGTATTATTATTTTCTTTGAAACACAAAAGTGAACTAATGTTTTGATATTTTTTATGGTGCTTTTTGGAACTTGACAGACATAGTCTCTATAACCTGTCATTTTATAATACATGAATAAATGTTCCACAGTAAAAACAACAGCATACCAGTTTGGAATGACATGTGGGTGAGTAAATAAAGACAAATGTTTAAATTTATCTAGTCAAAGAAGTCCTGTGGTCAGGATCTTCTTTCATAAGACTGAGTGCATCACCACACCTGTTGTAGTAAAGACAACTTATTCGCACGTGAGAGTTTGCACGGTTATGATGGGAGTGTAATATTATTACAGCCATAAAATTTTGTCTGGAGTCTCTCACTAAGTACATTCTCTACACTGAACAGTGTACACCCTCATAGTCTCTCTATATCTTTCTGTGCATTTAAATATGGCTTCTCCGATTTTGTGAAGTCATCCACTGTTGATTTGAAGAGGAAACCCTTGAACGACAGGGCACTGCAGGTGAATGCATGAGAATAGCTTTATTGTCTGACTCCCTGTAATCTGATCTGAGCTTAACCAGAACTATATAAGAGGACACACACACACACTCCCACCCATAAAGGAGTGTGCCCAAGGACACAGTTATACCTGGCAACCCTGCGTTCTCCGTAAATCATAATCTCTTTAATGATCCTTCAGAGTGACGATATGGCTTGAGTATGCGACTGAGTTGCATTACACACACACACAAACACACAAAAATAATTGCTTTTACCCTGCGGCTCTTATTCAATTGCAATTTTCCATTTTCTTTTGTCTTCCCATATTCAAAGGCACTTCTGGTGAAAAATCCATTGTCCCAAACAAACAGACAGAACTTAATAACTGCTTGTTTCATTTTACTTTCTTTCCTTCAACTCTGTCTCTTTCACTCATATTTTCCTCTGAGGAGATAATATTGTTTCTCAAGCGACCTTTGGCCCAGAGGAAAGTGGTGGTAAGTTTACTAAGCATAAAGAGTGCTATTGGCATTAAAGCATACAATCAACCAGAAAGCTACACACATAAACAGCACATTTTGATCTTAGATCCAGTGGGATCAATGTTTAATGACTGAAAATGCTGTAAATATCCTCAATAAATGGCTTAATGGAAGGAATATACAGACCTACACAGAACATAGTGTGTATTAATGGTTCAATCATGGTGTAATATTGTGCCTAATCAGCCTTGTTTTGTGTGTGTGTGTGTGTGTGTGTGTGTGTGAGTGTGTGTGTGTGTGTGTGTGTGTGTGAGTGTGTGTGTGTGTGTGTGTGTGTCAGCACTTTTATATCACTCAGCACAGACAAACACATACGTTTTCCTTCACACAAAGTGCACAACAATGCACCACTGAAGGAATTAATGCAAACGCAAACACAGAAATATATAGTGGGGTCTAAAAGTCTGAGACCACTAGTGAAAATGCTTATAGATGGCATTTTCCCCCCTAATAACATCTCAGCCTTGCAATACCACCTGTGCTTCTGTTAGAATAGAACAGATAGACATGCTTGATGAAGGCAGCACTGTAAGAAAAGAGGCAGCTGGGTGGATCTCTTGCTCTCAGTCCTGCTGTGGATCTGTTTTTGACTTCACCACGCTTTGTTCAGACATGTTGTAGAAGAACATTCCACAGCATATCTGAATCTTTGCATGCTCTGATTTCAACTTGAATGAATAGTTAGACAACCTATAAATGTTGAACTAAATGCTGATTTGTGCTATTTGGCTGTTATAGCAATAAATATTAAATATCAAAATTAGATCTATAGACATTATAAAATCTATCTATCTATATCTATATGCATACACACACGCATACGCACACAATATTATATAATCATTTTGTTGAACAGGGTTGAATGGTCAAGTTATAGGTCCTACCAAGGACCCTTGCGGTTTACCTTTTGATTAAACATTCAACTGTTGCGTCATATAGCTAATGAATATTGCAATAAATCCATACAGTGATTAATGCACATATAATGACTATTCAGTGGAAATTATGGATAT